GTAATTTTACTATTAAAATAATAATATATATATATACTCGAGCTCACGAGCCGGCTCGCAAGTTAACGAACTTAATATTTTGAATTCAAGTTCGAGCTCAACCAACTCGAGCTCGAATCGAGCCGCTCGATTCGTTTGCACCCCTACATCTAAGTCCAACAGTCAAATAGTCTGACATTGTTTTTTTTTTTTTTTTTGGAAGGATCTGACATTATTGTTATCATCACTAGACAGCTTTCTATGGCTTTTCACAATTGCTTCAGATGTTTAGTATCAGAATCAGAATCCAAGAGAACCTATTTTGCTGGCTGCCAATTCAAAGAGAATGCAAAACAATTTATATGTTTGTCATCCAATTGTCATTGGCCAGAACTGATGCGTCCATTAGGTCCCAGCACTCAAGGTAAGGAGGTCAATAAAGAAGGCCACACAGGATGATACAAATCGAAGAAGTCCAAAATCTTACAGTACAAGCTCAAGTAAGCATGGCTAAAACATCATATAGAGCTCATAAAAAAGGGAATTTATCCTCAATATAAACCACTTACTTCAGACTGACTTAAGAAAAGAAATGGCACGCAAAAAGCACGAGTATATGCATATACACTTGTATTTTGTTACTTGCAAAAAGAATACTAATCATATAAATATATCTTTGTACTTTAGGGATCCCACCATAAGCAAAAAATTTGCACCGGCAACAAGAGAATTCATTTCATCAACCTTGTCGAGAGTCATTCCAAGCTTTTGTTTGAAGAGATCAGCAAACTTTTATAAGCCCCACCTCCTGTAGCCCTTAAAAGAATTATAAATTGTTATTCAGGTAATCTCTCATATTAGACGATATGTGAGGACGAGGGGAGAAAAACTCATACTTCCATGCATGGTAGAGAGAGAGTTGCTTTATCCTTGAGGCTAGAGGTAGGTAAGTTTTCTAATTATCTATACAATATAATGCTTGAGCAATGGCAGTTAGTATAAATACTTTTTGTCATCTTTTGAACTTTCAATTTTATTCTTATAAAAATTAATTTTTATTCTAATCACCTAATCACGTTTTGTCAATACCAAATTACTGTAGCAATATAAACCAAATTTCATTCATGAAAATTTTATATAAATTTTTTGGTATATAAAAAAATAATATTTATACAAAATTGATTCATTTTTTATTGTTTTCTAATTGCACACACATTGGATGTGCCTTTAACACGAGTCCATATAAATTGCAAAAGGGATTTTTAGGATGATGAAGTCATAATGCTTGCAACTCCTTATTCTTTTTTTTTTTAATGAAATTTTGAATTTTTTTTAACTAATAAATATCCCCTCATGTTTTTTTGAATTTAAAATATACGAAATGGCCACATTGATATAGAAATTTGATTTGAAATTCATTCATGAGAGAGTAAATAAAGATGAAATATCCTAATCCATACTAAAAGTAAAAATTCATTGGTCATGGATTTAAAAGAAATAAAAAAATTTTACTTAGTAAACCTAATTAAAAGGATAAATTGTATCAAAAAATAAATAATTTTCATTGGTCATGGACTTACAAAATCAATAATGGTGATACTATTTCCGAAACCTAAATTAAAACAAATCATTAAATTCAAAACAAAGTCCTGCTGACCCTTCAAAGTACAAAATTTTACTTAAATTTATGGAACCACTACAAACTTATTTTTGGAAAAATGGCCAATTCCGTCCCTAAACTTTTTCCAGAATCGATTTAGTCCCTAACTTTTTTTTTTTTTTTTTGCCAATTTGCTCCTTAAATATTTTTTAATCCAATTAAGTTATTTTGTGGCGACGCTACCATCTAAAAACAATTGAATTTCTAATTTAACAGTTAAATAAGTGTATTTCGGGAACTTCAAGTATGAATTATAATCAAACTGAGTAAATTAAAAAAATTATTAGTATTTGGGACATTTTTAAATCAAAAACCTTTTTAAGATATTTTCAAAATTTTTAATTAACTTCTTAACCCTTATTCTACCTCATCCCTTCTTGCCACCGCTACCACTGCCTGCCTTCCTCTCTCCGTCGGCTACTTTCCTCAATCACCCCCTTTCCCATTAACCTACACCATTAACCCACCAAAGATGTGATGTCTAAGGAGATCAAGTAGTTTCACCTAACGTCTCTCCATGGTCCGCAAGGCTTCAAAGATTCTGGGGTATGGACTAAATGTGGAGTTTTAAGTCTCAAAGGCCGCAAATTGCAAGAGGAAGGTGGACTTTGACGCAGGGGAAATCACCTTGCTCAACATATCACATAAATAGCTTTAAGGGCTAGAATATTGGGGAACCCACTCACCTACAATTCCAAACCCAAATATATAATGAAATTAGAAACATTAGAAAAAGCCAATGGAACAGAAGAAATCATATTCCTAGTCCATTTCTCGAAGATAGGCTTTATATAATTTTTTTAGGAATTTTCGAAGATAGGCTAGACCGTAGAAATAGCTTATGATTCCAGAATATCTTGTTGGCAACTCTTTAATTTTTCGCCAAATGCTTCGAGGGAAATTGATAGCATTACATTAGGAAAGAATGAACAAAAGTAGGAAACGACGAGAATGGCAATTGAATCTCCCTTACTCCCTAGTCCCATTCCCGCTGACATGATTATTGAAGGAAGCAGAAGAATTACAGTACTTTTTTGTCTTTCACAGCATATGCAGGTTTCTTCTTCTACTTTCCCAATTACAATGTAAACTCAAAGTTGGGGAAAAGAGGGTGGGGAGGGAGAGATGGAATGAGAAGGAGGAGGTGGGTGGTTGGTGATAGAGGTTGGTAGTGGAGAGAGAGGAGATAATTCAAAGTTTCCAAAATGCCTTTGTTTAATTGTTAAATTAGGATCCAAAATGTTTTTATGTGGTGGCGTCATCGTAGAGGTTTTAATTGGATCTGAAAATTAAGTTTATGTATTAAATTGACAGAATAAAAATTAGGAACTAATTGACTCTAGAAAAATGTTTAAGGACAAAATTGGCCATTTTCCTATTCCTTGCTAATCTAAAGTTTTTTTTTTAGATTAATTACAGTTTAACTTGACCATTTATAACACTTTGCCCACCTAAACTTTAAATCTATACACTTTATCATTAACATTGACTAGTCAAATATTAATGATAAATTCTCCGTCCAAAATTTTAACAAAATGACATTAATGCCCTTATATGTTAGTTCTAAACTAGTGTTATACTTTTAATTGGAATATGAAACATCTTATTAGAAAAAACACAAGGTCGCATGTTTTTAAAAATTAAAAATAAAAGATGGTATAATACCAAAGAATTGAAATTTTGTATTGTTGAGAAAAAAAGAATTTAAAAATTTCTAAAATATCTGCACAAGTTTTTCATCGCTTATCTTTCTTCGTTTAAATTGTATATGGATTAGTTTTGATAATTTTCATTTACCTTGCAAATTTTACAAGATTTTCATGAGTCAATAAGATGCTATTTGGTGATTTTATAGTATATTCATATCTTGCTTTATATTTTGTTTGAATTCTACATTTAAAAAAGTTAAAATATTTATAAACACGTTTTTCAATACATTTTTTACCACATATAAAACATATTAAAAATTGCTACAATAAAAGAATTTAAGCAAATCTATTTCATTCCTAATGCACTAATTAATTTTATTCAATTTAAAATAAGTACTGCTATTAGCATTAAGATAATACATTGATTTCCTTAGACTTCTTTATTGTGAATTATTTAATTCATTTTAGTGTTAAAAAATCAAAATGCATATTGTAATTGTGTTTAGATGCATTTAGTAACTATTAAAGAAATAGGTATTTATTATGTGTGTTTAAGAATTAGGTAGGGATATTTTGGTTTTAAAAAATATAACTTCATTTTAATTCTGTAAAAAGTTGATCACAATTGGTAAAATGTATATATTTGGAGTTTAGGAGATAAAATGTTATGAGGGCCCAAGTTTAGGGAGGCAAAGTGTAATTAACCCACTTTTCTAAAGAATAAATTCAGATGATTTGAAATAAAATAATTTGATTCACAAATTTGATTCACATTTTAATCTCATATACATCACATCACAAAAAGTACTATAGTAATCATCTCAAATAAATCATCCAAATAAACTCTTATCCAAACAAATCCAGTGAATCTAAAGTTAATAACCTTCTAATTTGAAGGGTTGAGCTGAGCGCTACTACAAGCACTTGCACTTATGCATGTGCTTTGCCAGGTATAATCCTATTCGTAGTGAAACAATTCAAAAACTAAAAACACGTGGCAAAGTAAAATGAACGACGTCACATAGGAATAAGTAGCAGGCGCTGCTCAAATAAACACGGTAGCAAAAAAGTTTTGCGGGACAAAAATTCCAAAATAAACGTGAAAAAGCTCCAATCGAATGCAATTAGGTATCAATGGCGGAACCGTTGTCTTCTACCTCAGCAGAAACCACAACACCACCACCGCCACCAGCACCAGAGTCCAACTCTTTACAGTCCGAATCCGTTAGTCCCAACACACAACTCGATTCATCGGTACCTAAGCAGTCCTCAATTCTTCCTCCAAACCCTAATCCGAACCCAAACCAAACCACACCCCCGCCGCCGCCGCAGACTTCACTCATAGCTCCGCCTTCGATCCAGCCCGGTGCTGTTGTTCCGCCAACTGCACCTTCCTTCCGTCCTGCAACCACTCCTTTACCTCAGTTCTCGCCAATTCCTCTCAACCCTGGTTATCAGGCACCCGTTGGGGTGCCGCCTCCGGGTGTGAGCGCACTGCCTCAGTTTCCTGGCATGTTGCCGCCGCCGCCGCCGCCATCTGTTACGGGGGCGGGACAGGTTCCGGTGGCATCATCTGTTCCTCCAGTTATTCCGCCGCTTTCTTATGCTCCCCAAGGCCAGCCAATTAGGGCTCCGTATGCACCTCTGCCGAATGGTTACCCGGCTTTCCCCCAGTCTGCTCCTCAGGGCGTCATTCCTCCTCCGGGTGGGTAAATTCACACGTCAATTTATCAACAAATTGTTTCATTCCTTTTTGCGTAAAAAAAAGCTGATTCAAGCCTATGTGTTGCTAGCTTACTGAAGTAACTGAACTGATTCTAATTGTTTTGGCTGCAAATAGGCGCTTGCTTCATCAAATTTGGTATGGTCTGATTGGATTAGTTACGGAAGTCAATACTTGTCAATAAGTAGTAGGAAACTGACCTATTTGGAAAAAGGCTAAATTTTTATGGATTCTGGCATGGTTTTATTGAATTAGTTTTAAGGAAATTAACAGTAAATAAGTAGCAAAAAGAATAAGGTGGCCACTTGCATATTTATGGATGTTAGTTGACTGGATGTTACTTTGCTTCTTTAATGTCTATGGGTATTCGTGTATGTACTTTTCTGCGGTGAGCTTCAATTTGTAAATATGTGTTAATTGAAACTGGGTTTGAAAATTGGTGAGAAGGTAGGATTGGTGTTAGTTGGATGAGGGGTATCGATGACAGGATGTTTTCTCCTACAGTTTCTTGACTGATTACGGTGAGAAAGGGTGAAGAAGGCTTCACATGGAGTTTTTTTAGAGTGTACTGACTATCCCAATCTCCAACTACTTTTTTGGTATGCACAAAAATTTGCTTCATTCTTTTGATTCTTGTGTGGGCATTAATTTGTAGAAATGGCGAAAGAAAATGTTTCTTGTTAATCTAAATGAACATGATGGAAAGATGTCATCTAGCAACAAATATCTTTTGTCCAATAATGTCTGGTTCTGCTCTCTTTACTCTAATAGGATAGTTCTTTTAGATGTAAGGATACTTTATTTCATTTATTCGGATCTTGATTCATGTATTGCCGGCAGCAGACCATGTTAACAACTGATTGCTTCTTGCCTCTGGATACCAAGGTATCACAATCTCTCCAATTATATGAATTTTTTTAATTTTCTGAATTTTGTTTACTGCATATGACATCAGGTTGAAGATGGTTGCTATATTTAGTACTAACGAAGGTCAAAATTTGTTGGTTATAATATATTGTATCAATGCGAACATGACACAACCAGTCTCAATGTAAATTTAGCACAATTGCTTTACGGGGTAGGTTTAGAACGCTACTGTTTTCAAGTGGGAGCATAAGCCAAGTCCAGCTTCACATTCATAATTTATAAATTCAATGTTGTCTCCTTGATTTTGCTTCAGGTTATCTGTTCAGCTGGTGAGTGTTGTCATTCCTGTGCTGCCATCTCTAATTGCTTGTAATGTTTGGTAACAAAGTTTGATTATACTTGTGAAAGTCTTTTTATTCCCATTTTTAATATATTTTCAGAACTTAAAATTGCTATTAGCTATCAGCATTCTCTGATAGAGTTGCATAGATCTTGATTCGTTGATGCAGGAATTCTTCGTTATCCGTCTCCTTTTGCACCTATGGCTCGACCAGCATATCCTACACGTCCACTGGCTGCAGGTGGCGTCATCCCCCCACTGCCTCGTCCTCCTGTTGCTGGTCCTCGAGCTCCAATCATTCCTGCTGTTGTTCGGCCGGCTGTTGTCCCAAGTGTTGCATCCACAGAGAAGCAAACAACTCTTTATGTGGGCAAGATAGCTTCAACAGTGGAAAACGACTTCATTCTTTCTCTGTTGGAAGTACGTGACCTTATTAATGGAATTCATTTGTATAATCAAATTATGATTATCTCAACCTACAGCTTTCCCATTTTTTATTCAATTGAGTTTTGACGTGTATACTTGCATTGACATCTGTATATGTGCATGTAATTTTCCAAGTTATGTGGGCCTGTGAAGAGTTGGAGACGTCCTCAAAATCCTACGGATGGAACTTTTAAAGGTTTTGGATTCTGTGAATTTGAGTCTGCTGAAGGGGTTCTTCGTGCAATTCGGCTTCTCAGTAAATTAAACATTGATGGACAGGAGTTGATGGTACTCTCTCTCTCTCTCTCTCTCTCTCTCTCTCTCTCTCACACACACACACACACACACGCACACACACACACACCCTCTCTCTATTTCTACACACACACAAGGGCAAAAAAAAGGGGTAGGTAGATTGGCAAAATGAGTGTTAAAAATCATCAAGCATCTTTTTCATGTGTGCTTTTGAATTCGTGGTAGGGTTTAATCTGTGCTATTAGAATTGATGGATTTTCACATCTTAAGTTGTAAGATAGATCTCACACCTGGATGTGATATTAATTTGTTTTTCCACTAGCCTCTAAGCATGCATAGACATACAAATATTGCATTGGCTTGTCCTTCTTCTTCTTTTTTTTTTTCCCCTATAGGGTAATCATAGATGTTTTTGTCAAGTCCTGCTTCTGAAGTTATCAGCTGGCTCTTACTCCAGTTAGAAAGCTCTCCCTTTTCCTCTTTCCCTCCCTAATCTAACCCGGAAATAGAGCAGTACTTTGGATAAGATAACATATGACACTGCTAATATCTGATATGACACTGCTAATATCTGATATGCCCTCTCAGTTAAACTATAATCAAGCAACTCGGGATTATCTAGACGATTTTGTTCGAAAAAAACGAGAAAGCTTGAAGAATGTCAATGAAACTGAAACCGAAAGTAGTACCGAGAGCACAAAGAGAGGTGGAGTTTTATCTGCTGATAAACAGAAAGATGCGTCAAAGCCCTCTTTGGAATCACCAAAGTCTGCTACAGGAGATTCAGAAAAAGATGACAATAACACAAAGAATGATGAGAATAGGGATGCTTCCAGCTTTGGCCTTGTAACTGATGAAGATAGAAAAGGTGATCAAGAGGCTTTGGAGAAGCTCACGGGCCTGATAGAGGAGAGGTTGAAAAGCAGACCTTTACCTCCACCGCCTCCTCAGATTGCTGCTGATGGTTCATCTAACTCCAACTTGGAAGGTTCTGCTAGATCAAAGGATGGAGAAATGGATGCAGATACTACAAAAGCTGGTACATATGTTGACAATAGCATGAAAATTTTAAACTTGCGTCTGTCATATGAATCTATGATATTTTTAATGTTTGAATTGCTTCACAATCATTTTGCAGATGCTGTTGAAGACAAATACGAAAATGAGATGCCCAGTGAAAGCAAACCATCAGGAGAGCAGGATAGATCTGAAACAAGTTCACCGCCACCGGATCGTGAAAGAAGGCATGATAGGAGAAGCAGAGACCGTGACCGAGAACTCAAGCGAGAAAAGGAGAAAGAACTAGAAAGGTATGAGAGAGAACGTGAACAAGAACGAGCTAAGCGAGAGAAGGAGAGAGAATATAGAATACGGGATGATGAGCGTAGGTTTAAGGCACGTGAAAAAGAGTGGGAAGCTAGAGAAAAAGAGCGAGAACACTGGCGGAAGAGAGAAAGAGAGAGGGAGAAGAACAGGGCACAGGAGCGCAAATCAGAGATAGCAAATCAAGAGCGTGAAAGAGATGATGGTTATAGCAAGAAGAGGAAGTATAGGGATAGTGAGGAGGAAAGGAGGAGGAGACAAAGGGAAAAGGAAGAAGACATGGCTGATAGATTGAAAGAAGAAGAAGAGGTTGCTGAGGCCAAGAGGATGGCTGAGGAAGAGTGGAAGAAGAAAGAACAGGAGGAGGAATTAAGGCTTTTATCTGGCAATGGACGTGATGGAAGTGTTTTACCTGAAGAAAACAATTGTGGAAGCAAGGATAAGGCCATTGAAGGGACTTCTGATGATGATTTAGTTGTGAATAATGGTATTGGTTAGTTAGCTAGCTCATTTTCTTCGTACTTTTTGAATTTAATTTTTTTTGATGTTTTATAACAAGATTTGTGTTAAAGTGTTAGGTGATGGGACTGTGCAAAATGGTATTGCTGATCTGTCATTGATGGCTTCTCTTTCTACAAATGATGCACGGCAAAATAGCAATGCTCCATCTAGAAAATTGGGCTTTGGTCTGCAAGGATCGGGGAAAAGAACCACTGTTCCTTCTGTATTTGACCAAGATGAGGATGAGGACATGCACAAGGAAAAGAAGATGAGACCTCTAGTTCCAATTGATTACTCAACAGAGGAACAGCTGGCTATCCACTCATTAGTTTCTGAAGCACCACCACCTTCTAATTTGGCAGTGGCAACAGAGTCTGGAAGACGCATATCAAATAATAATTCTAAGGATGAGAAGCCTGATTTGGAAAAGGAAAAATGTAGGAGGTCTCATGATAGATCAAGCCAGAGGGATAGGGACAGAAATGGCGATGATTTTACACGCACCAGAGAAGAAAGTAGGAAAGAGAGTTTGGACCGGGACAGGGTACGAGAACCTGGACTTGATAAAGTGAAGGCCCCAGATAATCAGAAGCTCTTGGATGCCAAACAGTTGATTGATATGATTCCAAAGACCAAAGATGAGTTATTTTCGTATGGGATAAACTGGGCAACTTATGATAAGGTGAACATGCCTCCTAATGCACTATTTGTTACATTTTTATTAGCTTGCTGAGTGTGTTGCATATTGCTTTTACCTGGTCGGTTTGAAAACAGTGACTTGGCCTTTCAAGTCTTTGTGCTGATCCTAAAGCTCAGGAAAGAAACAAAGAAAAGTTAGAAACCACAATGTTTATTCTTCTTTTTGTATCCTGTTAGTCAGTCACCGCAAGGAGTGTAAGATCCTTTTTATTGCTAAAGTCTCCTTGTTATTTTCCTACTAGAAAACTGGATCTTTTATTCATTTTACCCACGAGGCTTGGGCAGGTCCTATGGAAGATGTTGTTCTCAAGTTTATGGTTTTCAGCCATTTAAAAGATTTGGAGCGTCTAACATGTTAGCTTTAATATAGTTGTGAATTATTTTCCTATTTGATTGCATTTTGAAGTTTTGCTGTCATGTCAACTTTTTTGACAGAATGCGTTGCATGAGAGAATGAAACCTTGGATCTCTAAGAAGATTACAGAATTTCTGGGAGAGGAAGAGCCCTCATTGGTAGAGTACATAATGTCCAGCACCAGGGAACATGTAGAGGCAACTGAGATGTTGAATAGGCTCCAGGCTATATTAGATGAGGAAGCTGAAATGTTTGTGCTGAAGATGTGGAGGATGCTAATATTCGAGATTAAGAGAGTAGAAACGGGTCTGGCTTTGCGGTCTAGGACATGATTTAGGATGGGCTAAAGCACGTGTTGTTAATCTTGAGGATGGTCCCTTCTGCCAGACTGACTTTGTTTAGCGTTATATTCTCGAAGTCCATCTTGCACTACTAGCAGGCAGATGGTATTCTACATCGATATCTATATGCTACTTGCTAAGATAAAAGGGCGGGATGTCAAGCCGACGCTCGTTGCCAGTATCTTCGTAACCTCTTTGTTAAATGCATTCACAATTTTTCCATGTTTGTTTAGCCGCTGCTATGCCTTCGTCGTTAAATGTAATTCACATTTACCCCATATTTGTTTATTTTCTACTATGGAAGCTTCTCCTAAAGCAAGGCTATAATGTACTTTTACCGGTTAGTCTATGGTTTGCTTCTTCACAGAATTAGCTGAAGCATACTGAACTATTCTACGCCTTCCATGAATGACACAAGCTCTTGTGCCTTGCATGATGTACGTCACAAACAAAATGACGTCTTTGACACTAATCTTCTTCGCAGTATTATTATAAACAAATAAAATAGGATAAAAACGCCTTTCAAGAACGAAGTTGAAGGACCAAAGCCACAAGGCAAGGGAATGGTCCCGAAGGAGTTGAAGCACCAAAACCATATGGCAAAGCATTAAGCGTACTCGCATAGCCACTTTGCCGTTAGTTCCAACACGATGTAATTTTATGTTTATTCATTTGATTGGGCGCATTCCCATGAGGCGCGCTATAAAAAGGAAACCCAATTGTGTTTCCACACTTACAGACCGTGCTGGGTCGATAAAAAGCTGATAATGAAGTTCAGCCTTGTTTCCCATTGACCATTAGAGAGTTGGCTCGCGGGTTGATAGAATGTGGCAGCCGAAAGAGGGCAATCTGTTATTATTCCGGGCAGTCAGGCGGGTTTTTTACTGTCAATTCATCCCTTGGGACAGACTTTCGAGAATGTTGTGTTTGTGCAGTGAAACGTGAAATTATACCTCAACATTGTGGCTAAAAAATTGTCTTTGTTCCTCTTACCTTCCTTTGATGTTATGTATTTAGAAGATAAAAATGAGTTTCAGCTAGGAAATGAATCCCCCCCCTGCAAAACCTATCTACGACGGCTCTTCCAGAACTAATCCTGGGAGAACAATAGAGATAAAGGGATGTGTCTAAAACTTCTTTCTATTAGCGAATGCGAAATAATTAGTTCCAGTCTCTCAATAGGACACGTAAGATGATGAAATCTCTCTCAATATATACACAAACCTACACCTGCTCAGTTTCCTATCTATGTACATGACGACGTTGACTTGTTTCCTATGCCTCGTTTCTTTGACTGTTTTGTTTATATGAAAACATCTCGCTTTGCCTAATTTGTACTTCCACTATGCAAAACTTGATCTACCTTGTAAAAGGGCAGCCAGAACACAATTCTGAGCAAAAATCCGTCCGAGCTTGCTCCAAGTTCTCTGTCGTGGTAGACATCTTTACCCAGCAGACCAGGGAGAGCAAGGCCATGAAGTTTCTTTGCTTCTCAGAATAAATTAGCAACAAACGAATAGCTGCACAAGGATGCCTGATAATTTGCAGGCTATCCACCAGAAACCAGTTACTCTCAGATTGTAGTCAAATCAGTGACCAGATAAAGAGCTCTTAGTACCTTGCCGAACACCAATAGAGAGAGGCTTAAGCACATTGGAGTCCACCATGCCAATGGAATAAACTCTGCTCAGACTACCTTCGCTCTCCTAAAGAGAGGAAGGTACATATCGAAAATTAAACTCCAGAATCTCTCCTTCGCTTGCTTGCTCTGGTCCTTGGTTTTGAATTCTCTCCAGAATCTGAATCAGGCATCTTTTGCATCAGCTGATTGCTAGGCTTCAAGTTATTAGTTGGGCCTGAACTTTGCAGAGCTTCCTTCTCGGATTTGCAATCAAGAGTTGTTTCCATTGGGTCATGAGTCAAAGTAGGTTTCTCATATAATATTGCAGAATCCAAGGAGTATATGCGAAGAGCAAGTGCAGAGAGAGTTGAAATATTAGCTGCAGCTGAAGGGGACGACCAGTACCACCAGTCATTTCTTAGGTATTCCGTTTTGATTGTGTCCTCAAGTACGATTGTAGCTTGAACCATCTGGAAGACAAGAAAGCTAAACCCTCAAAACCACGAGGTCAAGGAAGCCAATAACTTTCTTTAGAACATAGATAATACATTCATGACTTGTAGACATGCGTGGTGTCTGAGCTCAGGAAAATTATTATGTTGATCATTTTATCAAAGGAGACGTTACTCAATTCATTGTCTTATCAAGGATATTAGGATAAATAGGAAACAAGTACGTATATGCAACCCAAGAACAAGGGCAAACAACTTACTTCGTAACCCATTCTCAAAGATGAAAGAACAGCATAAACGAGTACGAACCATAGAAAGGGGGCCAACATCATTCAAGATAAAATGTCAACTCCTTTTCAATAGGAATTCCAAATCCAAATACATAGAATTTCAAGGTAAAGCATGTCAGTCACTGTGCTAATACAGGTAAATCACTGTAGGGCTGCAACTTGGCTAGCCAAGTAACCTTGACATGATTAAGCAAACATTAAACCTATTCCCATCTAAATTCCTGTTTCCAAATAGTGATCTCAACTTGAAGGTATATTCAAGCTCATGCCCACATCATTAGTTCAGAAAAACTCTTTTGCCATTTCTTTTTCAAAGATGTCATAATCCAACAAAGAATTCTTTTAAAGTTCCAGTTAAACTGACACATTTTGGTAATAATGTTACAAACAGCTACCACAAATTCATAGTGTACCTTTCATACCAGTTAACATGCATGCATAAGTTTCATCAATGCTTATATTAGGTCTCTCAAAGATGACAAGAAAAATCCAAAGTTATATCAGCTAATAAAAGAATTAGCAGGACTAAAAGCCAAAGTTAGCAACTAACCTCATATAAGCTCTTGGCAGATTTTACAAATGTTCGCCAGGCACATCTTCTGTTTGAGTGTGATCTTGATGCCCTGAGAGAAGCATCAGGGAGAGCAGCATCCATGTCAAGCAAGTTAATTTTCAGACACCTAAGAATTTCAGAAGCTTTGCCTACTTTTGGAATCAATGAGGATTCACGAATCACACATCTCTTATATATGCCAAGCACTGAGTTTCTTTCCTTTGTAGAAGCAGATTGACCCCTTTGACTTAGAAGCATGGGTTTTGCAAACTCAGGTTTTCCTACGCCCTCACGCTTGTCAAGTTTGCTGCCTTGCAGATAACCTGAAATTTCATTTGCACTCACCCCAGTATTAGCTCCATGGTCAGATTGCTGCTGCTGACTTTCTGATACTGAAGGTACATCTCCTAGGCCAATTGCATTATCAGTTGTTGGGGCCAAGGTCAGTGAAGCGTCATCAAGATAAGGAGATTTACCAGGCACAAAGGATACAACACCATTGGAACCAATTAATCCTATTTCCTTTACCAATTCTGTAAGTGAATTTTCAACTTTGAATTTTGACAAAATCTCCTGAAAATTAAATGGGCACTCTGGTTCCAGTGAATGATCAAGGAAACTAGATCCATTACCATATTTCTCGCTCAAAGATGTCAAACTAGTGCTCATACTGCCAGAGCATTTCTCTGCTGACTTTTCATTCCTCAACATATTTTTATGCTTTGAGGATTGTTCACTTATCTGGCTACTTGGACAAAGAGTAGAAAAGGTTTTGCATTTTTCACCAGCATGCTCTGTAAGTTCTTCACTATTAGGAAATGTCCTGTGACATGAGAAGCAATGGTTCCTAGAAGGCCATATCAATTCCAAGCACTCGCACCTGTACATTCTACCTTCGTCAGGAGATCTACTTTTCTGAAGATTATTATGCATATCGTTAGTCCATATCTCCAAGCAAGGACCAAAACATTTTTCCATTGCACTCACAGCTTTCGTGACTAGAAAATCAGAATCTCTAGCTTTTCCTGCACTAGATATGTTATTGGAAATGACCGGTCCTCCATCCAGGATATCATTGTCAGGATGACTGCTGTCCATGGATTTATTACCTTGCCACTGTAAAATAGCTTCTTTCAATTCTCTCTCCCTTGTGTCTCCATCATCCAGCCAATTCATGAGTTCTTCAACATCAGTGCCAGCACTATAAGACATCCATGAATTAAAGTTATGGAAGAAACTCTTTGGTTCAACCACCTGTTCTGCTTTCAAACTCGCATTGACCAATATCTGTGGACAAGCACTGGGCCTGCCAAAACCCCAATAGAGTCTGCCATCAGCATCCCTTCCCAAGAATTCCTTCCTTACAGATGTCCTGAGGAGTTCCGACTCAAGTGTATCTATTGAGTCCTGCAAACGAGTTATCTCGCTCTTAAGGTTGCTCAATTGAGCATCGCACTCTTGTGAAAGACCATCATTGGCATGGGTAGAACACTGGTGAACCGGAGAGGAAGGCATATGCACGAATGCATGTTCACTCGATGTGGCAGACAATTTGTTTTCTGGCATTAGCTGACCTGTAGATAGAATTGAAACACTGGAACTACCACATCCCAACTCCTGGGATTCATCAATATTAGTCCCACCATTGTCTTCACTTTGATCATCTTTTTGTTGAATAGACGTTGCCAACTCATTCTTGCACTTAGATCCTTTAATATAGCTTGATTGAATAAGATCTATTCCAGAAGGCTGACCTCGTAGTTGATTAACTGCAAGAGAAGCCTTTGAAACTTGAGTGTTTACGGTAGGATATTGCTTCTCCAACATGCTTGTTGAACTATAATCACTTTGATCTTTGGCCTGTTGACCATCCTCCATCTTAATTAAGCTACCAAAGGGTGAAACCTTGCTGCTATTAGTCAACTGTGCCTTAAATTTCCCATCGTCAGCAGGCAGAGATGCCATCTCATTCAACTCCGATTCTCCACTTCCACCCTGCACATGGCCCTTTGTCTTTGCCATGTTTGCAACCAAATTTTCTTCCTTGAATTTCAAAAGTTTCCGTTCAGAATTGAGGGAACGCAATTTCTGCTGTAAATCACCAAATCTAGTGCTGCTTCGTTCAATATGGTCACAAATGATGGCTGAATTCAATGCCTCATCACACAAGAACTTCAAAAGCGAAATTCTCTGCAACAAGGAGAAAACAGACTTATTCATATTAAGTTGGAAAATACTCTTTAATCAGCTCATATTAGATCAGAAGCAAACTGTTTGAAAAAAAAAAAAAAAAGGATCCACAAGTAAACTAGGATGCAAATTGATATCAAAGAAGAGCAGCAAAACTTCCATCCTAAGCTCAGCAGACAAAACTAGCCAGGATAATTTGGGTAGTAACAATGTACGTCAACATCTATTTGCATGCCAAGGGAAGTGTGGTGTCTGAGTTTTTACAGTGTAGATCG